ATCTTCAAACATCTTTCAAACATTTATCCTTCCATCTTCAAACATTCCTCTGAATTTTGGAACTTTCCTCGTGTCTTCCATAAATATCTGACATGTTTGACATGATAGTTTATGATTAATTAATATTTTTACATGTGAGAGGTTGTTGAATGATCCTGTAACATCGATTTAAAATCAAGAAGCTCTTTTAAATTTGATATTTCAAAAAAACTCCCGATAAGAAAGACAAACCTGGCGGTATTCTCGCCTGTCAGGAAGAAATCACTAGCTGACTGCATTGGCAGTACCAAGTTTGGTCGGCTTGTTTTCAGTGCAAAAGCTGATCCTACTCGTGAAAATCTGGCATTATGTATCTGAAAGTGTGAAATTTTTTTCTATCGAAAATTCAGTTTTATACAGATTTCCCAAGCAATTTTAGAACAACAGTAAAAAAAACTTAACTAATAAAATTTCAACACAATAATGTAAAATGCAAAATTCTTGTTATATCACCGGAAGGATTGTTAAAGCGAAATGTTAGAAAAGAGCATGATTGTTGCAAAAAAAATTGAAAGCAATCAAAAGTGTATAGTTTAGAAAACAGATGATGATTCCAAATTTAAAGTCCTTTTTTCATATCTTTGGAAGCTAACAATAAAATGGTGCTAAATACTGAACAAATTTATTAAAAATTAAGACCTAATTGCTTAGCAGCAGTTTTTGAGATTGAGAAAGAACGGTAAAATTCTGGAGGGAAAAAGAACAAAGCATTCTCGAAAATTATCGAAAAAGTTTTGAAAAATAAATAAGTTGAAAAATAAATAAATAAGTTTTAAAAAATAAATGAATGAATGTATATTTCAAGTAGAATTAGAAAGGAAATCTCTAGTTCGCTTTCAATATCAGATTTTTTTTTTCAGCTAATATTGTCATAAGAGAGAGAAGTGAAATGCTGGTAGAAAAGAGAACAAAGCATTTTCAAAAATTATGGAAAAAAAAAATTTAGTTTGGCCACATATTTTTGGAAAAATTGCCGCTATTAATATATAGAATTGATGGAAGTTTTTTTTTAACAAAACTTATTTTAAGAAAGTTCAACTTTTCTCAGAAAAAAATTTTACTTATGGAAAGCTCTTTATGAAAATTTGACCTTTTTACAAATAGTTTGTTTACAATTCTGAATCATATCTATGAATAACTCATGAAAACCATTATGTCAAGTACCTGATCCGTGGAATCACATTTGAGTGTTGCCCAGTCAAGTACTACTTCGGCATCCGACAAATGTCCACTCTGCTCTTGATTCGTCGTCAGCATTTTCCTGAAAAGAGTAAGAAAAATCTAATAAAACAATTCATGGCCAATTAGTCCAAGATTTTGATTGGAAAATCTAATAAAACAATTCATGGCCAATTAGTCCAAGACTTTGATTCTCACAAAACGGAGAAATATAATGTGAATAAAATGAATATGTGATAGGCTAGTTCCCTTCGTTCAGTATTTATCATATGTCATTAGCTCATGTCAAAGCAATTCTTATATTTCAATTCTTATTTTCAGAGACTGCGGATTTTTAAAAATTATGACAATAATAAACAAATTAGCCAAAATTATTAGCAAAGCAAACTGCACGGAGATGGAAACAAGTTCTTTTTTTTCTTTTAAATTCGAAGTTTCGTCCTGAGCCACTGATAACACTAACTTGTATGGAAGATTTACTCATGCTTCATGTATTTTAAAATGTTTTGTGGTTAATTAAAATTATTTGAAAAATTCAAAGTTTCAAAATTGAAACATTGAATATTGTTATAATGTTGCAGAACAATAATACTCAAGAACAGTAACGACTATATCCGAGTAGCGATATCCATTATCTTGATTGACCGTTTTATGGAGAAGAAAAGGTCATCTCTGTATCCTCTCCTAACTACTACTATGACCTAATATCCTACATGTCTTCGATCAAAATCATCTATCGGTTGTGACAGTTTCGTAATTAATCATATGTTTCAATAGACGAAAGCAGACAAAGCATGTTATATGCAGCTCTTTTCGTCCACTTTTACCCTAACACAATTCTTAGTTGATTCATTTTTTTTAAAAAGAAAGACATTTTCAAGTACTATAAGGTCCCTCTCATAAGAGTAATGCATTAACATGATGGTAATTACCTTCTGCTACTTACCAAACTAATTGCTTCCAAATGTGTTTGATTTCAGTGACAAAGAATCAGTAAGACTATAAAAGAGACCTGTTCACAGGTGGTGGTTCGCTAGAATCTTTGTGCCGCCGACCGTTTTGTAATTTATTTTTCCATTTCTGCAATCTATCGCTGCTGCCCTGAGTGAATTCAAGAAATCCACGGCTAAGCCTGCTACTAAGAGATTCTCGGAATTCGTTAATGTTGTTTTGCCTTCTATTCATTCCATCTTTGTAATCCATTGAATGCAAACTGTTAGCTGAGGAACAATCACCACGATAGCCAGCAGATCCGCGTGAATTTAGCGTTGAATGTGGCGAATCTGGATGAGGAACACCAAAGGTAATCTCAGATGTAGCAGTATCTGAATATTTTGTTACGGAACCAGTTTCAACATTCTCAATTGTTGTTGGACAAAACGGGACAGTTTTCGAGCGTTTCTGTTGCAGCACTGAAGAAATAGTGTCATTGTTAATGTTGACAGAATCTCGAAAATGATGAGTTTCAGATGGAGAGATTCCTTTTGTTCCCAAGCTTGCTGTCGGTGATTTTTGGTCTAGTCTGGCATAATTGGATGTTGATATTCCTTTAGAATCATTCAAATTCTGCTGATTTGATATAATCGTAGTTGACGTTTCGAATGTTGCTGCTGCCGTACTTCTCTCCGTTATCTTCCCCTGTAATTAAAATTTTTAAACAAATAGTTGGGAAAATAGCACTTGAACATAAAACATTTGAAAAATTGCAGAAAAATAAACAAATAAAGAGATTCGTCCATTCTTTACTTTCTTCAAACGGAAATTTGCTCTTTTATGTGCGACGAGATCTAATTATGACAGTTGTAAAAAAGTGTCAAACGAGTTTAGTGAATTTGTAATTTTTGCATCACTTTTACTCATTGCTGAGTTTTATGATTGTTTAAACGCCATGCATTTAAAGACTTCATGCCACAAAATGATAAATTAAATGAAAATTTATGGTCTTCGACTTCTAACAAATATAATTCAATACACTTGCAAAAAAAAGTGCAACCATAAGTTTTCATAAAATTCTTTCAAAAATTTTCAAAAAGAAACTGGAAAGAGATTTAAGTAAAGTCTAAGTTTCGTTGGTTTTATTTCATTCTAAGAGAATCAGATCGTAATCAATTCATAAAATTGCTCCGCTCTCCACCATTCCTTATATTTCATCAGTTTCTTGTATCAGTTTCCCATTATTTTCTAATAAAATTGGGACTGCACGAAATTTAAAGAGACTGGTCCTTTATATTAAACTTATGTTAATGTTTTAGGCTTAAGCTCAGACTTCATAAATATTAAACACATAAATATTTAACATAATATTTAACACACACAAATATTTAACATCAGAGTAAAGACGCTTTACAGTTCATTTCATTTATTCACAAATTATGATTTTGATTTCTGTTTATTTATTAAATATTACTTTCTCGAAATAAGAATTCGAAGGTTTAGAAAAAATTGAAGTGTAAAAGGGGAGATGAATGGAATAAAACAATGGATAACATATAAATTAACTGGATGAACATAGTTATACACCACCAGGTAAAAACCTTATAGATATTGTCACTCGGTGATACACCAAGCATTACTCAAAATGTCCCTATGACTAGTAATGAAATCATAATAGTATCATGGATGAATAATGGCTGAAATTAAAGATTGCTCTTTATCTCTTACTTCCTAATGTGTTATCATACTTAATATCACAAGTGCTTTTGTTAAAGCAATAACATTTTCAACCTTGCGCCTAATTTCTGCTACTACTCCTTTCTTTATTTCACACCACACTACAGTGTCATTATTCAGCAGTATCACTATCAGTATTTAGAACTATCAATACTACTACTAATATTAGTGACTGTCACCACCATTATTGTTAATATTGTTGGGAAGGGATTTGTAATATGAAGGTAAATGGATAAAATGATGCAAACCTTGGTGATGAATAATTTTTTGGGTCTGCCTAATGAAAGCGTTGCGGAGACCGAATAGTGTTGTGGGTCACTGATGATGAAAGTTCGATTCTCGCCGAGCGATCCCTGCTGCTGTCGGATTATGCTGGAAAAATGAACAAGTTATAAATGCAGAAGAACGATCATTCAAATCTGTGGCTAATGAAACTTCTAATTCTCTTTTATAATGCAAAGAAATTGTCTAAAGAATTGGGACATGCAGTAAATAATTTAAAGAGATTATATAATTCTGACAAGCTCATCAAAAAATTCCGAAAATTTTCACATGGGAAATGAATTCATAAACCAACGAAAAAGTTTGAAAAGAAAAGTTTTAGTGATTAAAGTAAATCCCAAATCATGCTTGTCTTCTTTTTAAGATGTATTATATTCTGGAGACAATAATAAACATCCTTAATAATGTTTTTTTGAGAAGTTTTTAACAAATTCAAAATCTACTCCAAAAATACAAAACGCAAAAAAATTTAATTTATGATTGAATTAGACCTTTTTTTCTTAATTTCGAGCCTCCACTAAATTAGTCAAGGGTATAGTTCATATTTTATCATAGAAATGTCAAACTGGGTTGAGAAATATTATTTAGACCAAATATTTACAAGTGTTCAAGTCAGTAAATTGCTGCATTTGTTGAGAATGACCAATGAGAAGGAAACTGGAGGGAGACCAAATTTAATCAAACTAATTTAGATAGATATTTATATGATCTGTACAAGCACTGTTGGTTACATTTTAATGAAGGTACTATGATTTGAAGTTTCATATTCCAGTAAGCTATGATGTGTGTTTCTTGCATCTTAGCAAAGTGATGAAATACACTTACAAGGTAACCGTCAACAAGTGTTTACATAGCATTTCACTAATCATATAGTGAATAAGCTGACTAGAAGAATTTTTATAAAACCTAATCTTTACCTCCTCCTAACTTATGTTCCGGGAACGGATTAACGATAAAGACCGAAAAGATTTCCACTTCCTAGCAAAGAGAAAATATCTGATTGGGTACTGCATGGGAGTATATGAGGATCCGCGCATTACCATCTAACACATAATCATATTTGGTATAACAATGGAAGATAGGATCTAGGTGGTACGAGGCTAGCTTAATTCAGATTAGATTGGTTTGGGTAATTATGACTCATGATTGGATGGCAATATATTGAAATTATCTATATTTATCCCGGACAATACTAAACTTTTATTTAATGAAAAATCTCCCAAGAAATATGCGTCTCGAGAGTCAATTAACTGAACTATGCAATCGATTTCATTTAAGTGAATTTTTATTCTGTTTTCTTATTAACTGATTGCATTATTTGGTAGTATATTATAAGATAATGCTTAATGTTCACAAGATTCGTTCGTCTACAGAGTTGTTGTTGTCTCATTGAGCAGAAGAAAGGCTTCAAAAAACTGCGTCAGAAAAAAGGTATGGTAATCGTAGACTGATCCAGTAGAAGAAATCAAGCTTAAATGAGTCTAAAGTCAAAAAACGAGAGAATTATTAGAATAGAAAAACAGGTCCTGTAATTAATTATATTATCGCACTAGAAAAAAGTAGATGACATCACTATAATCCATCTATTTAATTTTGCGATTTTTAATTTGAACCGTTTTGCAATCCAATTACTGCAACATTTGGCTTGATATGTCTTAAGATAATGCTTCACAATATCGATAACACATCAACTTTGTGGATGTTATTTGCATCACAGAGGAAATTGTTAAGAGCGAAGGAATGCGATAATGGAAAGGATGACTAGAAGAAAATGGTGATAATAATGGAACCAGTCTATGTGATGTTATAAGCTAGAATTTGAATGGTATAGATGTAAACTCTAATCAATCGGTAGTTCTTAACAGATAATTCTGGTCAATCGATATCGCAATCTTGTAAAAGCCCAACAAACCATCCATATTCTTCGTTACTTTCCAAATCCTTATCCAAATGATGTTGAATCGGTAGACACAATGTATGGCGTAGTTTATGATTATTTGTTTTGCATAGACGCGACATCAGCTTGTAACCTCTGTTAATAGTGTGACAACTTTCAAGTACGACTCGCAAACGCTTGGATAAGTCTGAAGTGAAATCAAGCTGAAAATCACTCTAAAAACTTCGCTAAACAAATCTTTATTACTAATGCAATCTTCACGTAACATTGAGTTTATGTCACCTTAAGATTGAAATCTATTTCATGCGTCATGTACCATGTAAATGTAACGTAAACACAAAACTTATTTCCTAATAATGAAATTAAAAAATGTTATAAAAGAGAGGTAAATATGGTCGACAGCTTATTGCCATTTTTATAGAATGGTGTTAAATCGTTCAAAATTTCATGCAAATTCATTTTTCGGCGAGCGGGTGAGGAAATATGCAGAATTTAAATAAATAATGTAGAACTTTATGCCAAACTCATGAGTTAACCCCCCAAGAAGCGGAGCGTGCGATTCAATTCCAGAGGAGATTTCTAGATTTCTCTACAAAAAAAAGAGCAATCAACCGACCCTTACATCCCGTAAATATTGATGCCGGCAAAAAAAAAAGTCACACATACTGATTGGGTGCATATGAATTCTAATCAACCATTTTTTTGGTGGAAAAAACGAGTTTTCCACTTGTTTTACACTGTTTTTGTAATTCAATCCATTTTTCGAAAAAAATTTTGAAAAATGTCACGAAAACGTGCGGTTTGATATATTTTGGATAAATTTTTGCTTCTGATATCAGAAAATCATATGGCCCATTAAAACAAAACCATTTTTTCTCAAATCGAATATCCAAATCCTTATTTCTTTCTCTATATTGTTACCCTTAATTTTTTTTTCAGTTCAGGAAATAGGTGAAATCCAAGAGGTGAAAAGGATCAATTTTTCGAACCCCTCCCATAACCTGAGATCCATCTCTCGTACACTCTAGACGTACATCCTTCTTTCAAGTGCGCACTGAAAAATCAACAATATGCGCCATTTCTCGATAAAAACGATTGTAAATTCATTTGATTTTAATAAATTATAAGAATATAGTCACGAAGTTTGTAGAGTTTCGAGACGTTTAATAGCGAAGAATGGTTAACCAAACATGTTACTGGGTCTTTTCATACTAAAAGCAAACATTCGGTAAGGACCAAAGCACAGGCGGGACTGACCACGTTTTTACCAAATAAAAGATGATGAGGAGATAAAGAGGAAGAAGGAGGAGCAGATGGAGAAGCACTAAGAGATATAATTCCGAAGTCCACCGGAAGTAAATTCAAATGAGATACGATCATTTACTATCATCATACTACTCTCGGAATCTCATTTCGCATTGTTTTACCATTAAACACTTAGTGATTGAAGTAATTCGTACCTATGTACAAAGAAATATTGTTCGAAGGAATGGCTTAGGTCTTTCTGGAAATTAATTTTAATTGAAGCTAACAACGAAATATTTCAAGGTTTCTTAAAAAATGAAAACAAATACTACAAGATAAAAGCATTTAGAGAACAAAATTCGTGTTTTCCAAATCAAACTCAAATTACAGATTTTATAGAATCTGAATTGTAATCGCGAAATGATTCGCTGCACAATAATAAAATTTCAGAGAAAGAAGGGAAACTTTAATATATAAATGATTCTATGTATCAAATTAGAACAAGTATAGGACACTAAAGAGTTTAACAGGAAAAATATCTGAAAAATTCCATTCTCATTTCTATACTAATTGTCCAATAACTCCAAATAGCAAGAGGATTCAAGTAATCGGTTTGACTGTCAGGATTGCTAATAATCCGTCAACACTGTTAATAATATTCGATAAATTGGCAAAATTTCAATCGATTTGCAGATATGCCAGTCCGATAAGATTTCATGTTATAAGACAATTATTCGGACTGCGAACAACTGCTATCCGAAGTGGAGCAGCGATTTGATATTTCTATGCAGATCTTATTGAAATCTTATATCAGTTCCTGCACAACAACCGAACCATCGCTAATGATTGATATTTAAAAAGTATACCTTGTCTTCTCTTCGAAGACTATATTAAGCAAACATTCCGGAGTAACCCAGGGACCAGCTTTGGTTGACAGAAATATGTTAGTAGGTGTTGCAATACGGTAAAGGTTCAATTTAGATACAGACTGGAATGCCGGATCGGCGATGAAATATTTTGTTAGCAAATGTGATGAATAGATCAGATACAGTTTTTATGAGAGAAAAAAGTGAAAACCTGTCAGCAGCATTAAAAATAGCATCAGCGAAGCACTCATTGCATCGTTTCTTCTTCAGTATCATTTGGGTCTGAGTTGGTTTGTAAGCTATTGTTTTTTGCATAGTTGTCGAGCTGAAAATTTCGCAAAATTTAATCTCACAAAGTTTGTTTTTGTTTCAAATCCTTATTGCCAAAAGTTTCACATCACCCTCCCGAACCCTCTTATTTTCATAGATCTTGATCAGTATAATACTCAAAACAGGACTAAAATTAAGAGAGTGAAATAAATGAATTTCAGCAAATAATTAGACATTGGCTTGAAGTCAACATACTGCTCTGAATTAATTAAATAACTAGAAGGAAAAAGGACAAATTTAGCATGATTAAATATCAGAGGGCAATAATGTTGAATGAATGAAAAGTAGAAGATGAAGTTATAAAGGATCACAGTTAGTTGTTATGATCACTAAATGTTGGAAAGGAAAGAGGACGACGAATGGCAGATAAGATCAGTGATCCTTAAAAACTTATTTATTTCTGCAGCATCTTGATTGCATTCAGCCTTTAGAAACTGTCTCAGTTACATGTTTTTAATATGAAATGATAGCTGACAAAATAATGTATTTTAAAATTATGAAGATTATTATACCGAAAACTTTGCCTCCTTCTTTGGCTTCGATATTACCAGTCTGAGAGAAAAGAGCCAAACTTTAACATTGATTTCAAAAAATTTATGCGGGAATCAGTGGGAAAATGTCGCTTGATGGGACATTTTCTATTTCTTGTTATAATTTTGAATTTCCTTAACAGATGCATCATTTTATCAAACAGGACACTGTCGAAGTTTACTCCTGTCGATAAGGAATGCTTTAACATTGATAAACATACTTAACCCAGCTGATTTCATTGCATTTTTGGCATATACATGAAATTCCAATAATTGACGAAGTCTAAAGAGGAATCTTTCTTTTTATCAATCAAAGTTAATGATATTCAAGTTATGGTCAGAGCTTCGGGAAGTAAAACAATCGGTTATTTTTTAATAAGAGTTTCAAATAAAGAGTTAACTAGTGAAAATAATTAAGTTCCTAAATCAAAGGATTAATGGAATGGTACATGGAAATAAATTTCAATTTACACTCTTACTAAAAGGTCACCGAAGTATGGCAATTACAATGAACAGTATTTAACTGACAAGATGACCGCAGAAAAATCTTTACAACAGACGCAGATGATGACCGAGGACTGGAAAAGAAACAAATTGGCAGAGCTGTGCTTTCATTGTTTGAAGTTTCAGAGTGGTTTGTGGAAATATTCCAAAAGTCAGCTAAATGAAGGTGAAGCAATTAGAGGAGATGGACAATGCAAAACCGGGATCAATAGCAAATAACTGATAAGATGATGATCGAATAAGGTTACATGATAAAAGAAACATGTATTGGTTACACGATAAGGCTGAAAATGACAATTGCTGAATAATGGTCAGGCAAACAGCGACGGCAATACGAGATGAAAAAGTGTTGCTGAAAGGTTAAACATGCAAATATCAACCAACAAATCTCCTACTTTTACATTTTTCAAAATTATGTCAAATTTGGAACTACAAACCCGCATTGTTTTTTATTGGTCTTACAATATAATTCAGAACTTCTCAAAATCATTTCCACAAAAGCGTTTCTAAATTATCAAAGGAGTCCTATAAGGATCGTAAACTACTGTGATATTTCAGAAGCATTTTTCATCTTTTAATATCTCATGACATATGACTGTTGCAGAAACCAATGTCGATGTCCTCCCCCATTACCTCCACGCCTCTAAGGTTGTTGTCATCAAACTGGTAGCTATTTCAAATCACTGCAATATCCAGATAACAGAGAGGATGATGATGGCAAAGTTAGTTAATAAGTGTTTCTAATTTAACTGTACTTTCCACAATGTCAGATTCTTAACAACTCTAATGTTAACATTTTTCATTTAACAATTGATTCTTTAAGAAATTCAAATTTTCTAGCCACGGAAACTTCAGATTTTAATAATTTCCAAACTTCATAATAAATAGGTCAGTGGGAAGGTCACTCGAATCCTTCAATAGGTTTTGTGCTTAAAAATATATGTGCCAAGTTAGTTTTGATTTTTATTGCTCCGAACATTTTGAAGGAACACAATAACGAAGGAAATACTTTTTTTGGGATTAAAAAAAACTAGTGACATCATGGTGGACAACAAACGGACAGCAGCGGTACATTCTTTGGGAATACTGAAATGGATGTGGAACTACAACAAACATGATTTTCCTCCAGAAATTTGAGAAATTTTAAAGATAGTAAAGATTTCAATCTCATGTTCCTATCAGTGTACACTTATTTTTCACATTTCTCAATACTGACAAGTATTTGGAATAACTAGTGACAGTTTGCACGAATCAGGGAAAATATTTTATTCATACACACTCTGACACAGTTATATGGTTTTCAAATTTCATTGTTCTTGAGGTGAAAGTTACGGAAGAAGATGAGGGGAGGGGTAATAACACAATTGAAGCAATAATTGCCTGCGTAGGCAATAATGACTAGTCTGAATAAATTACTGAAGAATGGAAAGTTTAAAGAGCAAAACTTTATTCCAAAATCTTCCAGACTGAAATAAAAATATCGACCTCCATATTCTTTATTTAAAGAAATTACATCAATTTTTAAAATTACTATTTGCACTTTGGATTCTGAATTCCCGTTGTTTTATAAAGAGTGGCAGAAAAAAAATGTTACTTTGCACAAGAAGGTCAGATGATGAAGCGAGTACTTCCATCTGGTTTTAAAAATATTACAACGAAAAAATGAAAAAAAAGTTCCTGAACAGTGAATAAATGTGAATGTTACGTTTCCAATGAGCAACATTTTATCGTTTAAATCTCAACCTAAATGTTTTAATTATGTCCATGCTAACAAGCGCTGGCTTATTCAACTTATTAGAAAATAATTACTTCAGTTTGCATGTGCATGGAATTCATTATCCTACAGATATCAGGATATATCAGCATAGTAGTAACTATTAAGATAATTTCTCCAATCGCTTGTAAAATACAACAAGTAAACTTAGGTTCAATATTTAGTAGTATAAATACACTGTGTGAATAAAGACTCAAAACAAATACTTAGCTTCAGGATATTAAGAACTTGTGGAAGTTGCAAAAGCTTTAAAGGACTCGAGTGATTACTTTGAAAGATTGGCAAAACAACGACATCTTAATCATATTAAGGTAATTTGTTCAAAACTAAATTCATAGCTTGAAGTCAAAACTAAAAATCTGAGGGATTTAGATAACAAGCTCAAACAAACGTTTCTGATTCCTCATCCGTCTGTGGACCACGAATCTCCAGATAAATTTCTGCTTGATCACATTTTTGCTGATCTCGTTGTTTCTGTATCTGCTGCGATAAATTATCAACTTCTACCATATTTTCATGAATCTCTCTGGATTTGGCGCAAATTGATTTACAACCCGAAGACTTCGATCCTATGATGTCACAATTTAAAGAATGACCACGACAGCTAGAGTTAGCAGATCTGGAACAGGTTTCATCAACTGAACCGCAACATTCGAATTGAAGCTGAATACCTGCATCTAAATTTTGTCCCATACAAACGGTGCAGTTGTCTAATTCTTGATTTGTCGAGTCTCTGCTAACCGGTACAGCACAAATGTCTTCCTTTTCTGATGAGGATTTTCCTTGTCCACTAAATTCAGTAAGAGTAAATGATTTTGGTTCTGAAAGTTCTCTTTCTCCTTTTCGTGTTGCACGTTTTATAAATTTGACAACCTGATGAAACCCCTCTTCGGATGGTTGACGAGTCAACCGAATTGGCAGTCGCCGAGTAATACCTTCGTCTTCTTCCTTTTCCTCCTCCTCCTCCTCTTCCTCCTCCTCCTCCTCCTTTTCATCCCTCTTGTTCATCTCATTCTCTTTCTCCTTCAAATGATCCTTTTGTCCATTTTCGTCTTTTACAAGCTTTATCTCAAGATTTGTATTTTGCAACCTACCAGGACTGAAATCAGATGAACCTGAAGAAGAAATACCTTCCACGGTAACATCCGTCGTACTAGATGTAGCATCATTTCCTATCGTCTCCTTCAACTTATCATTATCTGTTCTTGAATACTCTTCACCCATTAAAATATCTGTCTTATAATTACTCGAGTGAGGCAGAGTTACAGAAGTAATGGCAGTAATGAAAGAAATACCAGAGGTGATAATAGTAGTGGTAGGGATGGTGGTGATAGCAGTGGTAGTGGCGGTGATGGTAGTGGTGGTGATGGTAGTGGGGATAGTAGTGGTGGAATGGCAGTGACCCGATGTTTTATCAGTTCTGCTAGCCGCATACGTTTGCGCTAGGAAATGTGGATAGTGTGCTAGTTTCCCTCTTTCAGCTTCTGTTTCCACTCTGAGTTTACTTCTTTGAGCACAAACCGTTTCTTTTATTTTTCTGATTTCTTGCATCTTTTCCTCCTCCTCATCACTTATTATCCCTCTGGCAATAGACCTTTCTCTAAACCTTTCACTTCCTTGTCCATCCTTTTGGCACACCTCTCTTTCTTTGGTTAATGAATAATCTCGATCGAAGAACGGTAGATTTGCACAGATTTTCACACTGCCTTTATTTTTGTCCCAACGATTCTCGTTTTTCCAACTTTTCCCTATATCCTTTGCTTGATCATAGTGCAAATCATTGGTGGTAGACATCAGAAGTTGCTCCCATTCTAAAATTCGTTCTGCGACTGCTAACCTTTCCGGTGAAATAGTCTGCCGATCATCTTCCACATTTGAATACTTTTCACAAGTTACATTTATCATCGATGAACGAATGGATTTCAGGTTGGATTTCATTTTCTCATCAGAATTTTTCTTTGGTTTTCCTGAAGAGCCCAGTGCAGAGAGTACATCTGGTGACATCCGAATTAGTCTGATCTTCGATGGAGTAACCCCCTTGAATGAAGTCCTGAAATAAGGAATTATCTGCAGATTAAGAGTGACACTGAGAAGATTAAATGAAGGCGAATTAAAATATCCAGGTTTTCCAATGATCAAAGTTTTTCAATGATCAAATGAATTGCTAAATCTATAAGACGGTTCGACCGATAAATTCTTGATCCTGTTGTGATTACAGAAGCGATGTTTGTCTTTAGTAACATTTGAAGTCTTAAAATATCCAAAAGAGAATTTGGAGTTCGTGTAAATTTCCAATTTACACAAAGCACTAGTTTTTGTTCTTCTTTTCTTTATATGAAAAAGAAGTGTGTGGAGGATGTAAAAAAAAAAACGAACATTTCCAACAGCTCTCTGCAGTTTAAAATATCATAATGTATTTTTCTTAAGCTGACGCATTTTAATTTCAAAAAAATTCTAATTTAGTCGAGAAGAGAAAAAAATTTTGTTCGTTGCTTCTGACCAAATTCCATTTTAAGAAAACAAAAATCAAAGATGGATGGAGATCAATGATGACCACTTAAATGGAATTTGCAAATTTGTAATATAATGATTTGAGGAAACAAATGAACTGATTTGGGTTAAAAGATAAAGCTAAGCTGATGATGGTTGATTCATTATCGAACATAAATTTGATATTATGGGAAATGAATGAAAGACACCGCTATTTCTATCTTTCTCACAAAAGAAAAACTAAAGGCAACTTAACGAGATGTGGTATAAATTAATGAACCTGAGGAAGATAGGTGTTTTTAGCAATTATTAAAACATTTGAGAATGCAATCCACACACACAACCCTAATATATTATGAGAGAATACTTAAGTAACAGTAAAGATGGGAAGAGCGAATGCAGTTGGATGTTAGTCGTTACTTTCGCTTTAAAATCACAAAGCAAAGGTCTGAAGTCTCATTCTGAAATACTAATAGAACTATGCATGCTGATCACCGTGCAATAATGATAATAATATTATTATTATTGTTAATAATTATTGTTATTATTGTTAATATTATTATTAGTAATAATAATAATTAACAATAATAATAATTATTATTATTACTATTATTGTTATTATTATTGTTATTATACTATTATTATATTATTCTTATTATTATATT